TTCTAGTATGCCTGTCCGGCGATGTCGCTTGATTACTCCTAAGACAGCTGAGTTGTTTTCCGCTACCTATAATGATTTACAGCCTTGTATTTCACTGGATACTGGTCATGAGACCGTAGATGAGTTATTAGCTCGGTTTAGCTCTACATGCACGGATATCCTTGACTCGTGTGCTCCTTTTAGGAATAAACGAGCCAGAATTAAGACTGAACCTTGGCTAAATGAAAACACCCATTCACTTAAACTGGTTTGTAGGCGGGCAGAGCGGAAGTGGAAAAAAGATCGTCTTCACATTTCGCTGGATATTTTAAAAAACCAATTAAGAGATTATCAAAGTGCTGTTAAACTTGCTAGAGCTCAATACTTTTCCTGGCTTATTGTAAACAATTGTCATAGACCCAGGGTGTTGTTCAGCACCATAAATGCGGTCTTATATCCATCTACTGCTGCTTGGACGGATGTGTTCTCCGCTACTTGTAATGAGTTTCTTCAATGTTTTGTGGATAAAATTGTTATGATCAGATCCCAGATTGATGATTCTGTTCTGGATCCTTCTGTTGCTCCTATATGCTCAGGTGTCTTCGACCAGTTTGAGCCTATTTCATTACACCTACAGCTGGAGCTCTGCCATTGGTCTGGAAAGGGTTGGTGGTCATCTCCGGGGCAACAGCTGCAGCAACAAAGGGATTTGTAGATGGGACGGCTAAATGAAATACAAGAATACACATTAAGTCTTCGAAGTGCATGTGAAACATATTTCCATTCTGTGTGCATCACTGTAGTAATAATCACTATTCCCACCTCCAAAGCCAGGCTGCATGCTGGGTAACACGGGTGGATTCTGGGCTGGCGATGAACCAAGCACTGGTCCAAATATGTTCCTGTAAAGAAAATTCCCCAGATTAAATGCGCTTTCACAGCCATCAAACATACAGAACCTTAGGTATGTCTGGAATTAATTAACCTTTGTAACTGATTCACTGTTAACATTTTGCCACCCTTCTTTTAAACAAAACAGTTCAGCTGTGAAAGGAATTCCTATAGACTTCAGAGTATAAACTGTTGACTGGATTTCAAGATTTTAATTTATGCATACTCATCATGTCTAAGTAATATGCTAAACTACACAATTCCACCATGTAAGGAACAGTATTCAACACCACACGCTAAATACATCAAATTCATGCAGTATTCATTCAGTATTTCCAGGTGTGCAGAGTAACCGCGTGTAGGAAATCAACCACTCCTGGTGAACACTTGTTACAAGTGGATTTCCAGTCTCTCACCCTTGCACATTGCTGCCTGTGGTAACAGAAGAGCTGAGCTTGTTGTCCAACTCGGCTAGAGCAGCATAGCGGTCCTCTGTGCAGCTCCCTGTCTGGGACTGGGCAGGGACAGCACTGGACAATGACGGGACTGGCACACCTCCCCCTTTCAACAATGAAAAAAAAGAAAAGAAAAAAAGATGACATTCAAAGATCGAGTGCCACATGCAAACACATGCACACTCAAAAAAATAAAAAGACAAATTTTTTTCAATTGAGACTTTTGGCTAAGGTTAAACACTTTCTTTCTTTTAGTGATTTTGAAAAGGCAATTCATGCCTTTATTAGCACTAGACTAGATTATTGTAACGCACTGTATACTGGCATTATTCAAGCCTTATTGTCCCAACTACAGTTGGTCCAAAATGCAGCAGCTCGTCTTTTAACTAATACGCGGCGCCATGAGCATATCACTCCAGTCCTTGCCTCTCTACATTGGCTTCCTGTTCGTTTTCGGATTGATTTTAAATTGTTGATGTTTGTCTATAAGGCTGTACATGGTCTGGCACCTTCATATATTTCTGAGCTTGTGCACTTTTATACTCCAGAAAGGACACTTAGGTCTTCGAACCAGTTGTTCCTGGAAGTGCCGAAGTCCAGACAGAAACATTGAGGAGACCGAGCTTTTTCAGTTCGGGCTCCTATACTGTGGACTGGTCTGCCACGGGAGATTAGATCTGCTTCGAACCTGTCTGTTTTTAAATCACTTCTTAAAACGCATTTGTATTTACGGACCTTCGACAAATTTATTGATTGATGTATTTGTTTTGACTATGTATTTTTCTTGTTATTTTACTGTATAGATGCGTTTTATCTGGTCTTAGGTATCTTTATTATTATTATTATTTGTTTATGTTTTACTGGAAAGCACCTTGTAACGCAGGTTTAGAAAGGTGCTATATAAATAAACTTTGCTTGCTTGCTTGCTTGATCAAGGTCTTCCCTAATGAATGAATTATCATTCAAAGGTCTTACTCTCCACCTTCTTCCTAAACCTTCCCTCCTTTTCTTCCTCCTTTTCTTTCATACACACTTCCTCTCCCTGCTCTTCCTTTTTTCCTGCCTCTCTTTACTTCACTGACTTGACCTTGGCTCCCACCTTTCTCTAATCCCTTGTTCGTTTCCTTCCTCCCTATTTCTATAAACGTGTTTATTTTCTGCCGTGTTCCTGTTTTCCTTACTGGTGTTGCTTCCCCCCCCCACACACACACACACGCACACACACTTCCTCTAGGCCTCAGGCAGTAGTCTGCTGCTCTAAAACCTCTCTATCAGCACATCCTGGCAATAGTCGGGTCTGACAGTCATTTTCACTGCAGGGTTGCCTGATTTACCACAGGCACGCTCACACACGCACTCTCTCTCTCTCACACACACACACACACACACACACACACTGTTGTGTATGGTGCTAACATAGTGCAACCAGAACAGTCAGCAAGTGTGCATGGCTGTGCGTGAATATCTTGTGCATCACTTATAAACAACATCAGATGCTCATGCATGAATGCTTAATTTTAAATGTGAATCTATGCACAAATATGTGTGTATGTTCATCTGGGTGTGTCTGTTCATCCAATTTCTTTATCTACTTCTTTTGCTCCCTCTTCATTTCTGTATTAGCCCACCAGCAATGTAAAGGTCACGCGCTGCATCGGCGTTTGACTCTGCAGTCTGTTAAATAACAGCATTGCTATTTACTGTTCTCAACCCCATCCTGACTTCTATGTGTGGCCCGGGGGCTACATCATCTCCACAGCATCACTTCAGTGACTGCTCTGCGTCATGTCTGTGCACACTGGGCAGGCACATCGTATGGTACATTCTGACCGTGTCTTCAACTTGTCTGTGGGGGTGGATGTGAGGGGGGGCTGGGGCAACTGAGGCAAGAGAAGAGGTGGAAGGAAGGAGAATAGAGAGAAGCAGCACAAGAAAGAATGAAAGATTATATATTGGAGTCAGCACATTTGTTTGTTATATCAAATTGAGGATAAACAACTTAAAAACAAATCAGCTCTGCGCAGTTTGAATACTGTCAAAAAAAATGGTCTTTGTTATATATTTATGCAGTCCTTTATTTATAGTTCTCCTAGTGGCCCTAGCAGCATCTTCCAGCTACCTGCACATATGACAGCTGTGTCCTCTATTTCAGTAACATCTAAAGAGCTGGGTTTTAAGCTGAGTCGAGTTCATTTAAGGTTTGAATGGATTTTGGTTTCATTTATATCCACTATTTGAAAAGTAGACAAAATAATGACTAAAACGTAATAATTAACACTGCCCCAAAGGTAGGTTATGTTGGGTTGGATGCCATTAGGCTGTCTGGATTTATCAGTGCTAGGGGTGTTAAGGTTAACCGCCACTTATTAAAAACCAATACAAGAGTAAGAGATACAGCAAAACCACAAATCTGAACCAAATTCATTAAAAAAAATAGTCAAAAATCAATATGAATGTCATAAACTGATCTTTGGCAAGTTTAATGCTACCTCTTTCTGAGCTCCAGTCTAGTGTGTGCCTCTGCGTGTGTATGTTTGTGTGTGTAGGTGTGCATGCTTTGTGTGATGCACCATGTCCTGCCGGCATTCAATTGCATTCTTACTTATTAATGACCCAGGTCCTGGCAAAAACCCCTTTTTACAATGTAAAACATGTCAGAGGAAAGTAACAGTGCTCGTGTTAGCAGTTATTTTCAGAGCACATTAGCCTATAATTCCACCCGGTTGAAGTCAGTAACTGAAGCTGTAAGCTATTTCATTCACATGACTGTGTTGTTGAAAATGTGGGATTTAGACAAATGACTCTGAAGCTGAGGTACACAATAACAAGTCAGCAGGATTTCAGTGAAAAATGCATCCCAGCACTGTATGAGAAGGTGAAACAGCAGGTGGACACAGTACAAAAGTTTACCGTGCACCAGTGCCCATTGTTTACTATGGCTGAAAAGAATAGACCTCATGTTTTATGCATCTGTTGTTTTTCTGCTTGAAATACAAAACTGCTTTGAAGAAATATACTGTTTTAATTTTAGATCCCAGACATGTTAATGTGTATATAGTTTTTCAAGCTAAGTTAAAACTGAATTGCACTGTATGGCATCATTTCAAATGTTTCCGTATTGTTTTTGTATTGAACTGTGGGTCATGTATCGGGATACGTATCAAATCGTATTAGCTGTAGAGCCTTATCTTTGAAGTATCTTTATCAAGGACACCATCAGGACACATTTCCGATAATAGGTTTGCTTATTTTTAACTAAAAGGTCAGCTTATCCAGTGCTGACAGTTAAATACTGTGACATATTTGTAGACAATGAAAGCACAAAGGCCCGCATACAGTTACAGTAAGAATCCATATCCACAAACATACCATCAAGTCCCAAATGACCATTTCTTGCTGTGCACTTTTATTGAATACATTTAAAAGTAGTTACAAAATACATAAACATGATATATTCAAATCAGCCATAACATTATGACCACGGGCAGGTAAAGTGAATAACACTGTCTGTTACAGTGGCACCTGTCAGTGTATGGGGTATATTACCCAGCAAGTGAACATTCAGTCCTCAAAGTTGATGTGTTGGAAGCAGGAAAAATGGGCAAATGTAGGGATCTGAGTGATTTTGACAAGGACCAAACTGTGATGGTGAGACGACTGGGTCAGAGCATCTCCCACACTACAGGTCTTGGTGGGTGTTCTAAAGAAGGACAAACAGTGAACTGGCAACAGGGTCATGGGTGCCCACGGCTCACTGATGATGAGGTTGACCTACTGTAAATTAAACTTTTACAGATTCACAGAAGATGCACAGTGAGCTGCAAAGTGCCAACCAACTGCCACATTGACTCCTACGTAAACAGTATTAGGCAGGTGGTCATATGTTATGGATGATCGGGGTATAAAGCACCTTTGTACTTGTTATAGTGAGGACTTATCTTACAGCATGTTTTCTCTTATTTACTGTACAGTATGTAAGGATAAGGATAATCTCCTTTACTGGCCAAGTATGTTATACACAAGAAATTTGTTTCCGGTACAGAACCGATGGCAGCCATTGGGGGCAACAGGGGGGTTCAGTGTCTTGCCCAAGGACACCTCAACACATGGACTGGAGGCACCGAGATTCAAACCTTCAACCTTCTGGCTGGGAGATGACTGCTCTGCCCACTGCACCACTGTCGCCTCCCCAGATGTTGATGTATGCATTCTTATCGTAAACTGATTCTCTTGAGTGAGACTTTCACAGCTACTGCAGATGTTCCAAGGCCTCGTTTAATGAGCCTTACATAGAATTTAGGAACACTATGTGAGCTCAGCTCTGCCATCCTCAGTGCACAAGGTCTAGGACTTATTCATGCCATTTTTTCCATTTGTTACGGTATACTGTAAGTGCTCTTCAATTCTCTTTGTTTGAGTCATGTATAAACCACCAGTATAGCACATTACTGTGTCAAAATATAAAGGTTTCTTTCTTGGACCAACTGAAGTGACCTTAAAAATGTTTGGAGGATCATGGCAATCCCTTTCAGGATGGAAGAAAATCTGTCAGGTTATTAAGAATTTGTGAAAAGAATTCGATCTTGGCAAAGCCTCTAAAAGCTGTGCTGCTCGGGCTTGCTACAGCAGTGCCTTGGCTTGTTTTTCAACATGTGCAACCTTCCATACACTCCCTAAGGTTGCAGTTAAGTCCCTCTCTGTCTAGTTTGCCAGGAATGAATTGATAATGTAGTGGACTTCCTAAACTTGGACATAAATATAATCATTTTATATTTCATCGTGCCAAGCATATAAAACATGTTTATTTGAAAAGGCTTTGAATATTAAATAAATACATTCCCTTGCTAAATTGAAACAGAGGTCAACTGACATCAACCACAGAAATTTATACAAATGTACTTATTACCTCAGTGTTTTCTTTTCTTTGGTTGCAGACATTTGAATAAGTGGGAGTTGCTTTGAATGACACAGTACAGAGGATCTTTTTATTAAAACGAAATCCATCACTGCCACACAGATAGGACTACTATGTAAATAGACCAAGTGCTAAACTGTCCCAATTCTCTCCCAGCCTCCAGGCTTTGCATTTACCAGCCAAAAAGAAGTACTTTACATTGTTTGAATTGAGCTCTCTTGTTCCCCTCACTGCATCCTCTGTACGTCTCAGCAGCGGCC